TTTTGGCGAGGCTTGTGCTTATCAGAGTTAATTAGTTTGCAGCAGCCTTTTAACCAGGGATTTGTAAGAATCATTAAAAGGTTTCTGTTCCCTTTGGTTCGTGTTTGTTTTATTGGAAAAGGGTTTGGGTCAGAACAGTGAGGAAGAAAGGAGACGAGTCAGGGTGTCTGGAGAGGACTGGGACGAGGGTTCTGCATCTGATGCAGAGATGGGGCCAGGGCCATCTGGGAGTGGGGTGCTGCCTCCGGAGCCTCCGGAGCTGGCAGCAGCGAGGCAGAGGACCCAGGGGAGCCTGTTCCCAGTGCACATGTGTGCAGAGCTGCTAGAAGGTGAGAGCAGCTGAAACAAAAGGGGTGACTCGGAAGTGAGGCTTGGAGGTGATTGCCCCTTCCCTAAGGTATAAAGGAAGTACAAAGGTAGGAAAACCTTTGCAGGAAGCAACGTTGTTTGCTCTGATCGGTTTGGACTCTGAAAGCTGCGTTTTGTTCTCCGTTTTGGTTTTGAAAGACTAATTGGGACTTTAGTCGTTGGCAGCACTTCAAGTCAGATAAAGGTGTGTTCTTATCAGACTTCTCCTGAAGGACTTTGGCAGACATTCCTGGGACTATTTATAACCGGTTGAAACTCTTTCCGGGCTGTGAATGATGATAATTCACAGCCATTGAACTAAAATAAAAGGGTTTGGGATTTTATGTGTGTTTGTTGGTGTCTCAGGAAGCCTTGGTCAGAACAGGTTGGGAGGCAGCATTCATGTCTTGACTATATAACTGAAAGGAATGCAGGTAATGTTTGTAAGGAATGAGGTTGGTGAAGAAGGAACCAGCAATTCCGGGCTGGAGAAAGGATCACTAGGATTAGGAAAGGTCCGTCTAAGGCCTTCGAAATGGTAACAGAGTAGCTAAATATCTGTTGACTCGGAAGTGAAGGAGGAAAAGGCCTGGAATTAGAACTTTGGAATAAGAAGCTTGTAGATGGGCTTGGTGTACCCCATTAGGTAGAACTTCTGCTATTGTGGTTGCGTTCTTGTCTCCAGTCAAGAAATGAATGTCACAGGGTCATGTCTGGGAAGCCAACATTTCCAGATCTGCCTATGGAAAGCCTTACTCAAATGCTGTACAGCTGTGGCTTCCTTCCTTCCTTCCTTCCTTCCTTCCTTCCTTCCTTCCTTCCTTCCTTCCTTCC